CCGGAATAAAAATGCTTTCCTGCCTGTCGGTGGGTAACGGAATTGAAAGACGATGGCGATGCAGTGTAGCGGGGAATCAGGTGGAGACCCTCGCGGGCATCTCGTGCTCGGTTCATTTCACTTCGCAACGACGTAATTTCGCAACGGGCAAAATACGCCGTTCCCCCTCGGACTTAACTCCGTAGGACTTCGTAGAGGTAAGACGATTACGCGGAGCGGAGGTCGTTGGCGAGAAATCCGGTAATAATTGTTAGACGAACGGTGAATAACGGACGCGAAAGCGGACTAGAGTGTGCGAAAGGGGCGGCTTTATGCGAATCGGAAACGTGCTAAAGCAAACCGCCGGCATCTTAGAATTCTCCACGATATAGATTGTAATGTGGACTTTTTTTACTTTGCACATCAAATATTGGTACTTAATTCCGATGAAAGAAATGCGGAGATTACCGAAGGTATAATCTTTGATATCGTAGATTAAACTCGTCGAAATCGTATCGATTTCATTCCTGCGATTTCATTCTGCTCGAGCGCGTTCGATACACGAGCATTTTGTTTGCTGCATGACTTGCGGCTTCGCGCATGTGTACTTAGGAAGTGCATCTGAAATTGCGATATCTCAGGTGCGGTCGTGCATCTTTCATTTTCGATGCAATAACGCGTAGCTGAATCGTTGATGGGCTTGCCTTAGCCGACATATCGCCGGCCGCGTGGAATATAATCTTTGAAAATCTATAAATATTTCCGTTTTATACGTGCAAGACCGGAGGCAATCGCCGCAGTTTCTTCATTTCGCGATACCGTATTGCGCGCGCGCGCGAGGCAAATTGTACGCGAGAGTGATTGATGCACGCAACTGCGTTTGGTTTTTTCCGCCGAACAAACGCGCAATTTATAAATGTTTGCAAACATTCGCTCGCGCTGCGTCCAGGTTTTGTTTCTCCATCGTTTCTCCACGCACATGTTACACCGTTGAATCGTTGGAGAGTTCACGGCAACAATTTTAACTGCATTTGATAGCGAACAGAATATTATCCCCGGAATTCAGTGTATTAATCGAAACCACCATTAAGAGGATTTCTCATAAAAATTCCCAAGCATCTTAATTGTGTTTATCGGAAGCGCTACGGGCGATTTACGCCTCGCTGCTCGCATATTCGCATAAAATGAATTATGTTTCTCGATTATATTATTTGATCGCACGATATCGTTATGTTCCGTTACCGTTTCAGAATAAAATACGCTTCAATTTTTCTAGAATTATATTTATCGATTTTAATTGAATGTTTCATTAAAGAAAAACATCGTTTTCCACACTGCTTATATAATCTGAACAATATACATTGTTTTAAAAAATCAAGCTTTTCCATTCAGTAAAACTTCGCATGTATTAATGAAGAGAAGATAAAGAAATTATAACATTACAGTACAGAGTAAGTTTTTAAAATCTGTGTCTAAGAAACTAATATTTGGTAAAACTATATATAAATATCATAATTATATGATCTTTCTATTAAGAAAACAAGAAAATATTATTTAATTATACATTTCAGAGTAGTTTTGAGATTCTGTGTTGTTTTTCTGTTAAACAAGCGGCACTAAGAGTTTTCGCGGCGAAACGTATCATTTGACGTGCCGCCGCGTAACGCGCGTTCTGAAAAACCAGACAGCAGTTTAATTGCACGCATCGGTGTCGTTCGAGGCGATCGCCGTCCACGGTAAGTGTTCGGGCACGATGCATATAATGCGGTGTGGTAATCCGCGCCGCGGTGCAGCGGTGAACCGCGCCGCCCACACGTAGCGTCGCCGCAGAGTCGCCGCGCGGTACGCGCCTATCTCTCTCGCCGTATCTATGAATCCTGTGCGGCGCCACGTGATTAACGGCCATCATCATCAGCGCAGCCCGCGATCCTTTGGTCGAGCGCATCCCACGCCTAACACCTTCCGTTCCACTTACCGGCGTGCGGAGCGAATAATAATTACGTCAAGCGCTCGTGAGTGCTCCCCGCGGGACGTTCGCGAAATTATCGATCGCCGCCGATGCGCTCAGCGGCGGTAATTAATTCCGCACGGCGCGTCCGACAGGACGGAGTTTCGATCCGCCGGCGAACAGGTGGGTGACGTGGGAACGCCACGCCGCAGAACCGCGCGCTCGTTCGCGCCACGCCGTGCCGCGCGAATCGGCGATGAGATTATTGATTGTTTCTGTAACGCGAAGCGCAAACATCACGAGTGAGGAATTGCGGTCTCGATGCCTGAATGGCGCTAGCGCGTGGAAGAACGAATCGCGTTTACGGCTGTATCATATAATAGATTGGACGCATCGGCGAATGATCGATTGAGGAAGACTGTTGGATGATTCATCTTCGGCGAAATAAAGAAGCAGAGATTTTACAATAATCAGGATATAAATTTCCGAATGCTATTAGTTTTGAGCAATTGGGAGCGCTTCAAACGTACACGCGAGAAGTAAGTCATTCACGCGGATCTAGTTCTGTCTATTTAATAACGCGAATCCATCATGTTGTGCGCGTGTCATCTTCAATTTCCTATTTAACGCTTCGCGCTCGAAATGCGCTTACATTATACAGATAATTCAGGCGGGTGCTACTAACCGAGAATCTCGGTGTTTAAGCAGCTGCTCAGCCCATCACGTAGAAATGTCTCGTAAATCAAGCGACGTTGCTCGAAATGACGACATTCATGAAGTCGGCGAGCAGCGGTAATTTTCCCGATCGTGAAAGATGCTGCGCGACAACGCGGCAACGAAAAAGCAAGAAGCCGCCGCAAGTTGCGCGGTGGCAACCGTCGCTTAACGATAATTGACTCCCTCTTATTGGCGACGATAAATTAATTATTGTAATTACTGTTATATCCCATCATCTCGTTGACAACCGATATAATCGCAATGACTCGAATTCCGTTGCGCGTAGGATAAGATGAATTTCTCTTTTAATCCTCACCGCGAGGTATTTATAATCATCTTACGTGAGCAGCATTCTCTGGAACGGCTATTAACGCATCATCCTTGTCATCGTCTAACATATTGCAGAAGAAGACGAATTGGCGACGCGAACCGTTACACGGTGATAATTATCGTTTAATCGTTCGGCCGATGCAGACGTGTGTATTTCCATTTCTTCTCGATTCACTCTTTCGCTTTAATGCGAAAATAATAGGGGAAATTACATTACGATAATTTTTCAATCAAGCTCCGCGAGTATTATATCATTCGTACTGACCGCACGCAATGAAAAACATTTTGTAATAAATAAATTTTAAATTAGATGTCAAGTTCCTACCGTTGGTTTTGTGCATTATTTGTTCACTTTGAGCTTAATTAAGAGTAATGAATATATCGCGTTTGATTCTATTATTATCTCACTTTTGTCACAATATCATTGCGATTCACTGTTATTTAATCTCTCGTACACTTTGATCTGTGTAAATAATTTTCTTACGTCAGACGACGGCACTGTCTAGTACGCGCAGGAAGCATTTCGCTTCTTTAAACGAGTACTTGACCGTTGAGATAAAACGGGGACTGTCCACTCGACCGCCTCGTAACGCAAGTAATACGCGCTCAAAAAATTTGCAGTGATAAGGTCTCGGAAAACTACGGTCAGCTGATTCCCGCGACCCTGGGAAAATTGCAAAGGCGAGGACGATTAAATTGCACTGATAAAGACGGCCAGCTCGTCGCAATAATTATCGTTGCAAACACGGCCGCGATGAAAGTAGATAAATTCTATTCTCTCAAAAATAGCGGAACAATGTAAGCCCGCACTTGTAAACTTCAGCAACTTAACATGTGTAGTCCGGCGAAGTCTAACTGCTCAGTATGCACCAAGTATTTCGCGACTCTTAACTCTTAACCACTTCATCTTCAAAGTGGGAACATCTTGAGATGAAAGCGTGATCAGATAAACAGCGCGTTTAAATCACGTCAAAGATTAAACTATATTTGAATAATTTTACATTTCAAATTCTCTCGCGAAGCAGTTGTAATGTGTGCGCGGAATAAAAAATTGAAAAAAGCTGCTTATTAAATAAATACAAAATTAATCAGATCAATAAAAAAAAAAATTAATAAATTTTAAACGAAGGATGATTACATTTTTAGCAAAGAATACATAGGCGTTTATAATACCTCAAATATCTCTGATGCACAACGCGTTAAGCCGCAGTGAACCAAACAGATAGCTGTGCAGAAGCAACCAAAAATAGAAAACAGTTTAAACTGTACTATGAACTCAAGTGATTACATGATTTAGCTGAAGATGAGGGCGGTTGCTCTCTCCGGCACGAGGTCACGAAGCGCGTGCGAATAGCGCGATGCTCGGCGATTACACCGAAAAGGTCTATAAACGGCAAGTAAGTGCGGAGGCAAGAAACTCATTTGAGGTTCACGTGGAAGTTGCGAGAGGCGAGGGCGCGTTGGAAGCGGCAGCGGGAGATGAGTCACATCCCAGAGCGTAGCGCGAGCCGCGAAGGAGGAAGAGAACGTGGAAACAAGAAGATCGCGGCGCGCAGCTTGGTCATCTCTCCGCGATGCTCTTATTACACCGACCGCGCGATGTGTAATGCGCTGCGATCCGTGTCACTTCGGTTCCCATACCGCGTGCGATATATCGATACGACGGGAGTCGTCCTTTTTTTTCCTCATCCCGGTTCCACGTTTTTTCCACCGCGATCTTTCCTCGAACTCGTCTTGTTCGCCCCGTCGTTTCGCCGGAGATCTCCGTTACTGGTCGGTAACGAAGCGCTTTCTTTCACGGAACGGCCTTCATAATCGTCCTTGGTCGCCACGCCATTGTAAACTTTGAAATTATAGCTTTCGAGTCATATTTCTTGAGCAATGCCCTAATTAAGATAATCTGGAATCCGTATTTTTGAAATGCAGAAAACATTTCGCAACGGAAAGTTTGTTATACCTTGTAATTTCTCTGTATCTTTTAATCCGTTTTCTATATTGTCCTAACTTAGACGATGTATTGTTACAGATATATCGCTATCTGGATGCTAACGGCGGTCACGCTGAGGTGTCAGGTAAATATCTGTTTTGCTTATATTTATACATATTATTGTACGTACACTATTTTATATGTATTGTTGTTATATGCTTGTTTATATATTTTTCTAAGATGAAAATGTATCCAAACTAATTTTATTTTGAAGGCGACCAATCACGAAAATGCGGAGGTGGACGGAGGTGGGAATTCCGAAGATCCTGTCACCGACGACGCACCCGAGGAATATTGGGCGGGTAGTGGATCGGGACCCGATGAGGATGATTCCTCTCATAACGAAACCAAGGAAGCGTTAACTCACGAGGCCAGCGACCACGAGGCTGTAAGTCACGCATCGCCAATTTGTTTCGCATTGCGCATTTATTTATTGAAACTCACCGTAGATATACATATTGCACAAGAAGTTTCGCCGCGATTCAGGTATTTCTTTGTTCCGTTATCTTTATGGGGATTTATTTTTTTCACACTGAATTGATGGATTTAGTAAAAATAATATACTTAAAAAAATTGAGAGATCGACAGGATCAATTTAACTTGTTCGTTAGTAATAGAACATTAACTGTGTATTAGGATAAGTCACAGAAATTATCCGCCATATCCGAATTACTTTTACTTGAAAAAATTGCAAATAATTTCTGACTTACTCTCGTACATATTGCAATCAATATCATCAGTATACTTTATTATGTAAAATTTGAAAAAATATTGATGCTGCTAATTTGCATTAAGACAAAAAAATATTAATCGACACTGTTGCTCGTTAAATTAGTGAAATTCAAGAAACTAAAAGAGCGATAAGAAAAGTTCCCATCGAAGATCATTTGCAGATCGATTAGATTTCTGACAATAAATCGCGATTGCGACAGCAAAGAGGAAAGTGAGAGAGTAAGAAGAAAGGCGTGCGTGCAGCTGGCGTACGATCGCGTCCGTCCAGTTATAGTTAATTGGCAAACGGTTTCCTCGAAAGTGGATTAAAAAAAAGGAAGAATTAACGAGGGAAGTGAAAAAAGGGAAGTGCAGGAATGATACTTGTCCATCTGTTCGGTTTTGCGTGATTCCTCGTTAACGAATGCTCGTGCGCACAAGGCCGTACGGAGAATCTAGATGCAGGTGTTCTGCATCCGCTGCGATATTCAACAGCATAAAAAAGGGAAAAAAGTCCAACACCCGACAGTTAACCGCAGCGAAGACGCCTCGGCGTGTCCCCGATCGAGTGGAAAAATCCCGCAGCCTCCGTCGAGGATCCGTCGATCGCCGTGCTTTTCCTCGTGCGACTGTCGTCTTCGCTGCGGTGTAAAGCGAAAAAATCCGGTCGCAACAAAAAAAAAAAAAAAAAAAAATCAATTGTTTCACGGACGCGCTCGCTCCGTCCCGGTAATTTTCCCCTCTTCTTGCGGCAAAAAATTCCGCCGGCCCTTTCTAAACGAAGGGCAAAGGGTTGGCGCATCGATCGGCAAGCACGGAAGAAGCAGAATAAAAGGCCGTGCCTTTGATTAATCGCCATTTATCGATGATCTCCGGATTGCCTTTAAACTAGTTTCGAGCGGAGTCGATCCCCATCGCGAAAAAATGTGAACCAGTTTCCAGTAGAACAGAGAGAAAGGGTATCGCGGCCACGTCCATGCGCGACCTTCGTTATATCGCAAATTGCGAGCGGATAGATCGCTTCTTGCGCCGCGTGATTCTCCGCGGGGAAAGACCTCATTACTCGAGAGCTTCAGGAGCGGTTTGCTCAGGTTTACGAAGTGTTTGCCGCGAAATAGAAGACAAGATCAATTTCATTTGTGCCGCGTTCCGCCGCTTCCGTCCGTTCTAATTTGGAATGTAGAGAACGACCGGGCAATTTGCATTACGTAACTGTCATACTAAATTTAACTTTTAAATCGCCTCATAGAAGCAAAGAAGCAAGATTTATTTCTATAAAAATGATTAACTGATGAGCATATGTGATAACTTTAAAAAAATGTAACAGATTATTAGACGGCTTGGATATTATAATTATATTCTATAAAATTTTATAAAATTAAATAAGAGAGATTAAAAGTAAAAACCTGTAATTATTGTTTATTATATAATTAATTGATGTATGACATTTTAATTTCTGTTGACAGAACTTTTACGCTTCTGACAAATTTTGCGCTCTTTTTTGTCTCAACTTTATCCTCGTGCAGAAAATTCGATTGAAGTATGCAGCATTCTGAAAACTTCAGCAATCAAGTCAATCTCGCGCATCCTGTAGATGAGAAGGTGCATTTATCTAAGTCATCCGAGCGATCTTACTTAGACTAATGACTTTCGACACTCTAACCGCGCGACCGTTAATCACTGCATGAATGCGCATATCTCGATGCGACTTGATCAAAGTGAAGAATCCTCGAAAGAAATAAACGTTCACCCTAGAAGAAGCCCGGCCCCGTCTGTCGGCATCGTCTTGCGGAACGCAAGAAAATGAAGTTTTACTAAACGGTTACTTAAGCGTTTCTTCATTGAAGAAATGTGAGCCGATATTGCGGATGTTGACGATCATTAAGAAGAATGTTCTTATTACGCGACGTGCAAATTGCAAGATACAACCTCGAAACCTCGCATTCACCGCCGGATACTAATACCACCCGGAATCGCTTCTAATAAATACTAATTTTCAAGAAAATCGTTTGAAAACAGATCGGTTACACCGGAACAAAGAAGATTTCCCGGAAGAGAAACGGACAAAGCGGAAGACAAAGGTCGTGTGAAGAGAGCTTCGATGAGAACGAATCGAACGGCGCACCGAACGTGAAGAGGCATTTCGCGTTATTGCTTTTCCTACCGTGCAGCGCACAGTTAATACCGAAGCGGCCGTGGTTAAGCATTGGCGAGAGTCGAAGGTAATCGGTACTTATCATTCGCATCAGGTCTTCCCTTCGTAATGCATTCCGATGAGATACCACGAAGGATTCAAAGACCCACCGGTCAGTTTCCCGCGCAGCTCACCTCGGCCCAGGGCGGCTTCTTGTTAGGCGAAGAATGATTCTCCTAACTACTCCACTGGCCCATAAACGCTCCGACACACTCCGTTTCTCGGCAGCGTATTCGAGCTATCCTGAGATTCCGCAAAAGTGGAGTCTACGGAGCGAAATAAATTCCCTGCGCGGAAATAACCGCGAACAATCGGGCGCACGAAAGGGCGAACCTCGCGAGTGGCACGAACGGCGAGAGAAAAAAATCGAGAGAAGGGAAAGAATGGAGAAGGACGAAGAGGAGGCGGCCGGAACGAAACGGCCGTTTCTTCGTCACGGCATATGGAGGCTGTTCGCGACTTTTTCCCCGCGTTCCGCGCTCACCGTGTCGACCACGTGCCCGTCCTCTTCTTTTCCACCGCGGATTACACGATTCGCCCGAGTAGGTGCCTGCCTACCCGCCGCGCTCGTGTCGTGCTCGCTGACAAGCAGCTCCAAGTACGCGATTCCTCCCTTCGTGTCCCACCCGCCTTCGCCCTCGCCCGATCGTCTTGTTTCGCTCTTCTTGCGCGTCTTCTTGCGCGCGGCACCCGTACGCGAGTGGAAGAGCCCGGGTACCCACGCTTACCACGGCGAATGAGCTCGTAAAGCGTTAGTCACGCGCTACTCGTGCTGTCTATGCTTCTTTCTGTTTTTCCTCGAGACTTCCTAGTCGGATTCCCCAGCGTCCCTTTCCGCTTCTCTGGATTCTCCGGCGCGGTCGCCTCCCTCTTCCGCGTCTCCCTCCTCCCGCGATCTCGACCCCCGATGGCTTTTTCTCGCCCTTTCTCACCGCTCGAGCGCGGTAGCGATCCGCACGGGTTCGGGGGGTTAAAACCGGATCGTTAACACAGGAGAGGTCAGGCTTCCCGCTCGACGGGATGGTTTTGCATAGCCGACGGATCGGGCGATGTACGCGAGAATATTTCGCAGGAATCCGCGGTGTATCGTCTAACGGCTTTGCACCCGCAAATCACTACCCGCGACTCGTTAGCGGATTCCTCGCGCTCATTTCCCGAGCTCCCGTATGAATATCATTAATAGCGCGGGAATTCGGCGCGGGTGGCCTCTTATTAGCGTAAATGATTAAACCCGACTTGAAGACTGCAGCGGACTGTTTTTCTAATAAAAACCACGGGGGATTCGCAATAATGATACGTGGAGCTCGTTGCAAATTACCAGTGTCGATATCCTTGCAATTAGTTACTTTTTTTTTTCAATATAAGACAGCATAGACTGTTGTAATAGTCAACTGGGAGCTTGGCAATAGTTGTATTAATAAGTAACCTTACCTTTATTTCTCCGACAGGTCGTGTACGTCGGCGACGGCGGTTCCTACGTGCCAGTACCGTCATTAAAGAATCGACCCCTGAGCCCGAATCTCCAGGCTCTTCAAACTCTTCAAAGTTTGCAAGGGCTCACCACAGGCGGAGGCACGGGTGTAGCCAGTGACGAAGATTGGAGGAGACCGGAAGCCTGGGACCGCGAACATCGGAGATACAGACCTAACACAACGAGAGTGCAACGTGAGTACAAAAATAATTTCGTCACTCTTTTTTCGGTAAATTATGACTAATTATAAAGAAATTTGATAATGGTATAAATAATCACACAAAACAAACGGTCTTTCATAAATGCCGTAATTCTCGGCAATCTGAATCGCATTTTTCAGCGAGGTAAAGTAAATATAATTCAGGAAATTACTCTTCGGCCCCTACAATTTTCCGAGCTAATTGAAATATCCTGCTTTGTAAGTAGCTTTAATGGCAGCTTGCATGAAGACGCTAATCCAGCGGAAATACACTACGAAAGGGTATTGATTACGTCTTGATCGAGTACCGAAAGAAATCTCTGGCCGATAAGAGATTATCGATTCAATTTGACTTGTAATTACATTATTACGCCAAAGTAGAACAAATCAAAGTGAGTAGCAAAGTAGAACGAAATTCATGGGAAAGTATAGGTATTTGGAGAAAAAAAGTATACGTTCGAACGATTGAGCTAGCGCTGCACGTCGCGCGTAAATGAGGAGACCCGCTACTCCTCGCCCGAATAAAAGCGCCGGCAAAAAATATCCACGGTATTGGTCTGGTGGGTCAGTGTGCCCCGCCGGCGGAAAGACCGGCGTCGCCGCTTTAGCATGTCGCGATCCGTTATTTTTCTGCCCGCTGCCCAGCGACACGCCGAAACCCGCGAGAGACTGCGCGATGCAAAATCCAAGCGCTTCCCTCCGACCTGCGTCTCGGTCGATCGACTTGGAAGAATCGCAACGGCGTTCCGCGACGTACGTCCATCTTTCGGCCCCGGCTAGCGCGCCCGAGAATTCAGAGTGCGATGGCGAGTGGCTACCGTTAGAGAGGAGGCAATTAAAACGGTGTCGGAAAGTCGTACGACGCTCCTGACATCGAGAGTATGCGGGAGCCCGCTGCACCACCTCGGCGTACACATGCCTCCGATGGCATCCACCGATCGTCATCATCATCCCGCGCGATCGTCGCCGGCCCGAGAGTGCATCGGCCGTCATCATCTTCCGCGCGATCATCATTATCCGCATCTGGATCGTCCTGCGATTGCCTCGCGGAAACTCGAGTGCACGGCCGTGCAGATATTTCGACGCGTACGTTACGACTGATAATCGACGGCCCGTTTCTGGCATCGCCTTTTTTTCGTTGCGAGAAAATTACGACGCCGCGTCGCGATGAAAATAATGTTCACGACGAGCCGTTACGCTATTCTTTTGTGCCGGCGCGCACGTAACGTGAAGCTATGTCGCCTATGGAATTTTCTTCAATAATTTAATATTGTCTCGAATATTTTTAACAGGATAATTTCTTGAATTTTATAACGTTTCCTGCCATTTTTTTTAGCAATTGATTGCTAAAGCATTTGTTTGTTTGCAAAAGTAACAAATTTACATTGTAACTTTACAATATCGCGATGCGAATTATTTTGCAAATTGGCTTGGCAATAAATTTTCTATCCCGTTGATTAGCTCGGACGAAGTGCCTCTCGCGATAGCGAGAATCAATGAAGTCTCATTAAAGTTCTAATCAGTTCGTGCTTCAGTTTTAATCTCAGGTAGCGGACGCGCAGCAGTAATTAATGCCAGTGGAACAAGACGTTAGAAGCGCTCACGCAGTATCCCGTTATGAAAGAATAATAGATACTGTTCCGCGAAAACAAAATTAATTTCCTACGCGCATGTATATTATGCTCATCCGCCGCGATTCTTCTTTCAAACATTATGGTTTATTGTGAATGCTGAAGACTTGCAGCTTGCGCATACGGTGAGTAATCACCATAGCAGACCCCACTACTTGATACTCCCGGACATAATTATAGCGTATTTCGTAGTAATGTAAATAAATAATATTTATAGGAGAGGATCGCATACCGCTATTAGGCTTCCCTTCGCGAACCCTTTTAATTACATTTTGCGGAAAATTACGGCCGTATTGGAAGCCGAGAAAAATCTGCTTTAACGACGCATCGCCCTCTTCGCTCATTCAACCGGAACGATGCGTCCATTAAACCACTTTTTACATTTTTGCCGCTTGTAATTAATTGTTTCGTGTTTCTTAACTAAATCATTATACCAATTTGCTTCGCTGATACATATTATCCGCATGATAAAGGTAAGATTATCTGTGATTCCTGAATTCAATATAGAATTAAAATTTTAATCATAAAATTGTTATTAAAAAATTCCTCGATTATATAAATTTATATAATGCGTAGATACGCATTTATTTTTACAAGATTCTTTCATAATTTGAACATCAAAAAAGATTTAATTACAAAATAATTGTGAACGTAAATCCACTTCGCTCTATTTTACTCTGACAAATCATTTTATACGTGTTTTATAAGAAAAATCGATTGCACGATTGACCGGATCCCATTTTTTTAAAAGATTGATTGGATTCAAGCTCTTCGAATCGACGGGACGATCGATGAACGCATTGCTACGGTAAATTTCCTAAAACATTTGGATGAGCCTGCCATTGGCAATGATGAATGTTATACTCGGCGTATGGAGCTCGCTGGTTCAATGAAGTCGTAAAGTCGAGCCGCTTGCTCTCTGCGGGAACTTGAGGCCACCCGCGGTATCGTCAATTACGCGAAAGAGGGCCCATTAGGTTTAATGTATCCTCCTCAGCAACGCTCGATGCGTCCTCGGGATTCAAAGTCTATTTTGCTACTTCTTTTATTTTTACTTCTCCCCCGCGAGTCATGTTTTCTACTGTGCTCGCGAAACTATGATTTTTTTATTTCGAGCGGCTCCAGTCATTTTTTTAATTTCAGTTTCATAAATATAAAAATTGTACACTTTAAAAATTAATTTTCAAGTCTACTTGTAGAAAAATTTAACATCGGAAATTGAAAAATCTGGAAAAATTAGTTTTAGAACTAGGTATTGTACAGATTTTAATGATTCTATTATAAAAAATCTCACGAGTTTCACGGTACAAGCACAGCACGGATCTGAAAAGGAACCCGACAATATCCTCCGCGTCTCTCCGTGACCGCTCTCGGCACGTTCGAGCAAATATCGGCGTTGCTCAACTCTTCCCATTGTCTGCCCACTGACGTTTTGCCGGACGATGAACACAAAGCACGTATCCGCAATTCTAATAAGCGTGCGTATACGTACGGCCGCTCGAAAATGCGCTCGGCACACTCGCGCCGTATAGACGGCGTACTCGACGGCGCGAGGCGTAGGAGGGTGTAACGAAACGGTTGTATCATCGGTATGCGTCTCGAATCTAACTATCTCCATTCTCCAGCTTTGTCTCCATTGTAACATTTCTCTGCATTTCTCTATTCACGCGCTGGCAAAAGGAGCAACGATAAATTTCGATTCAATTTTACGCGTAAAGGTGGATTTTTAATGGCATTTAATTTTTAAAAAATGCATAATTATTAATTTAATGATGATTTTACAACGTTATTGCGCTAAAGGATGATGTCATTCGACATACGTGTCAATTAATGTAAGAAATCGCATCTGAAATATATTCAAGTGTCATGCCGTGCGGCGATGAACGAACGTGGGACGAGCGTGGGTCACGGAACGAAAAGGTTGTATCATCGGCAGACACCTCGAGTGTGACTATCTTCATCCTCCATCAATCTCCATTCCGCTTTACAGCCGCGGCAGCGGGTTACGTTGTTACGGTAGAAACGGCTTCTTACCACGAAGAGCGCCTATACGGGATCCCCAACTTACTTTCACTCGTCATCGACGACCGGTTTTCCACCTCGCTTCTATCCGCGAATCTACGATTTTCCGCGCCCGGTTTCGACACGTGTGTGACGACAGGATCCCTCGGCCGCGACTGCACGCCCACACGATGATCGATCGGTGCATCGTCGATTGATCCTCGTGCTCGATACATCCAACTCGTTTCCAAGTGGCAATTACCGTGCCCGATACGGTGATGCCGTTGCGTTTTCCTGAGAATTCCTCTTTTCAAAAAAAGCTTCTTTTATGACCGAAGGAAAATCACGAGTCATATTTCAAACGGGATCGACTCTCAGCTACAAAGCGTTTACCGGTAATGATCGTTATCGGTCAAAACGTCACGTTCAAAATATATCAAGAAGTTATTTGATCATTTTTTTCGTTTTTGCAACCGCTACATTGATTTGCTATTTGAATTTGGAAATCGATTCTTAGTTAATTCAGAGGCAGAGACAGGCTTAGTAAATTCAGAAGATTTTTTCCCTAGTTCGCACACCCGGATACACAGTTTTCCATTCCGCTTTCGACACCCGAGATTCCACCTAGACCTTCTCAATTTCGCAAATGCGAGAAAATGTAGACAGAGAGTTCATCGCGCTGATGGATCAACAATGTGGCTGATATAGGTCTTCTGCAGATACCTTCCCTGATAGCTTGTCGAAATACCGGTGAACAGAGCGAGATATATCGCCCTCACAGTAAAGTTCATAGAATCAACGAATCATCATGATGTATAAATAATTATGTACACAGTGAAACGCGCAAAGCAATGGAAAAAAATATATATCAAAGAGAAATGCATCGTATGATTAATAAATAAACTTATATAATTTTCTCTAATTAATGCTAATGCCGTCGCTAATTATGCCATATATATTTTACAGATATCGAGGCGGAATGCCAGGACGATTATATGAAAATCAGGATCGGCTTCAACGGATCTTTCGCCGGCCTCTTGTATTCAGCAGGTAAAGTTAATCGCGCGAGTTAAATGGCTTATTAATGAATCTCACAGTTATTTCAACCGCAATGAAATTTATCCACGCTGAATTCTTTTCTCAACATAATTGTCATCATAATGCACAATTAATTGTTCACGCTGTCAATTATACACGCGTAACTAATAACGCAACGCTAATTGTAAGGTGAATATCGATTGTGGCTGGCATAAAAACTATGTAAATATTACAAGGTGAATTATGCTAATGCGTGACGTTGAAAAAGTGACGGTTCTGGGAGTTTCACGCTGGACCCTTCATCACGGTCAAGGGATTCGACATAATGCCGCACCTAAAATATGTGGCTGTATAACCGACTGCGCCGCTGGCATTCGCAATTATCTCAGCAGACAGTGAGACGAGTGTACGTCCGCGCTAACGAGATAATGGTGGAAATTATCGTAAAGCGATCGACCGTTCACATCGGCCGGAATTTTTTCTTCACCGCGTGGTCGTAAGTTCGTCTCTCTGTTCGTTCTAGTGAGATACTTCCGTTATTTCGAAAGAAGACGCGCACCGCGTCTTCTGGTAGCGCACGCAACGCGCCGGCAAAAACCACGCACGTCGCGAAGTAATTTCTTCACAATGCGCTCGCTAGGAAAGCCCTCCTCGAACCTTGTGTATCCTTCTGTTAATTCTGTTAGCGATTTTCTTACTGATTAATAATAAGTTATTAACTAACATTTCAATGGCAAGCGGAGCTTCTTTGTACTAATGTGGATGTAATCTTCACGAGACATTGATTGAATCTAACAGGATGACTAAAAAGTCGGATTATCCCAATCTCTGGCTTCCTATCGCGGCGCTAACGACTATACTTCGCATTTCCTCACGCGCCGTCCATTTGCTCACAAAGAGAATGCACCGACGTCATCCGCCCAACCGACGAGATCCGCGCGATCACGCTGAGCAGCAGCTCGATTTAATACGCGAGGCATGCCGATGTGCCCGTGTCGCAGGTAGCCGCACGCCGGACAATCAAGAACAATCGCTTCTAATTGCAGGCTACTCGTACGATCCCGATTGCATGTACGTTAACGGGACGGGCCGCGACTACTACGAGTTCTTCATCCAGCTGAACCGATGCGGCACCCTCGGCGAGAACACTCATCATCAGGACAGCAGGAAGAATCCGACGGTACGTAAAACAGACGAGCGAGTGCGCGCCGCGGTATGACGGATCGTTGCCTTCGTGCGCGGCACCGGCACCGGCCGCGACAAGGAATAATAATGATTAACAACGCGTGGGGAAAAATGATCCGGCTCTTTTGAGAGCACGGCGGCGGCTCACATTTAATCTCGATAATCAGAGAAAATTAGATGTCGCGTTACCGCGGGGGGGAACGCGCGGGAATGTGGAGCGCGCTATTATAGCGGCGGCGGTACGTGCCCGATTTACGTGAGAAATAGGCTCGTTGTTCAACGTCGTGCATGCTCACACCCTGTTTTGCAGAAAAATCTTATGTGGAACACGGTCACGGTGCAGTACAATCCGTTGATAGAGGAGGAGTTCGACGAGCACTTTAAGGTGACCTGCGAGTACGGCTACGATTTTTGGAAGACAGTGACGTTTCCCTTTCTTGATGTCGAGTGAGTATCAATTTTTATTACTACAATTTAAAAGACACGCTCTAAAGACATAAATATTATATTTCACGCTTGTCCTTTAAGCGCTAAATGTTTGCGAGAGTTATTTGTGAAAAAGCTGGAAGCTTCGTACGTTCGATATAACAAAATCGATAGAAACGATTTAATATTTTCGAAATAAATTGTCAATGATGATTACGTAAAAAGTAACTGTAAGATGAACTTTCAATGCATTGCGGAAACTACACGAAGGGTCATATCGATCGAAGACCCGAGTCGATGGAGCCCACAATGCACACGCGGAATGACACGATACCGTCTAAAACCGCCGATTATGCGAAATTGACGGAACGTTTCGCGCGAGACCGCCTTTTACGTAATATTTACGATAATGTCTAACATCTGCTATTCAATGGCGCGAAGTAGGCCGTGCTGCTCGCAAGAGATAACGGATACGCATTCTTCCTGCCTCTTACGCACCCACCTTCTTCCAGGGTCGCCACGGGAAATCCCGTAGTCTTCACCCTGCAGCCACCGGAGTGCTACATGGAAATCAGATACGGTTACGGGACCACTGGAACTAGAGTGGCGGGACCAGTCCGCGTTGGCGATCCTCTGACTCTCATTATCTACATGCGCAGTAAATACGGTAAGCTTCGCACGCATCACGCGTAACTGCAGTCTCACCACGGAAATTGGCGGAGTGCTCATTGGGCTCGATGAGAGTGCGATCTAATACGGATTCGCGCAGCTCAATGTAAACACCGACAACTGCTTTCTAGAAGAGATGACGAATACAAATTGGCTAGCTGACAGACACGCTCGTTGAATATAACAATTGTTACATAATTCGGGATCGCACGCATTGAATTACTTTTTCTTATTTTCTTGAGATGATTGCGAAAGATTGACAAATGATAATGGGAAGACCAGGAGTGGAGATGTAAATCTATTCGCGAATACAAGTTGCCAGAAGCGCGGATCATGAATACAAAGTACCATGCTGAAGCTTAAGTCAACGTCTAACTTTGTGCTAACGATGCCACAATGATATACTGAAGAATGAGCTTCCGAGGGCAAATAGTCGGTAATGTCGAGATGAACCGTTTCTACAAATCACGCGCAGCACGCACTTTCGCGCGCATCTCTTTCCTCGCCCACTGCCCACAGCCTAATCATACAACGCCTGATTCCGCCGAGGTATCATTCGACGGCGATAACGGTATAAGATGAGGCAGAAGACTTTGTCAGTCCGCTGCGGACCCGAGCTCGGTAATTTGCGAAAGATGCGGAAATGCTAGAGAGGAGGATACGAAAATGTTGCGTAGCTCGGCGTAACGACAGATGTCTGTGCTCTAACGAGCCGGCCTTTTGCATTTACGTCTACATCACTTATGTCAGGTGAATCTATGTCAGAAGGTAGGCGTCGTATCTTATCCTCTTCCCGCGAAGACATGTTTGACTAATTTGTTTTGCCACTAATGGCATATTTCACAGCAGCTAATCTTTTATCGTTTCTTACATAATTATCATAAATCTCCAGGAACGGTTCTCCGAATATATTATATCCATCGCATTGAAATTTTTATATTTTCTCAAATCAGCACCAATTTCTCTCTTTACGAGCAGCAAAATTTTGTATTGTCGTAATTTATTATCACTTTTATAGGTGATAAAAATCTTATTCAATGGTTACAAATAATCTGACAATTCACAATTTCTTTTTTATAGACGGTTTCGACATTGTCGTGAATGACTGCTACGCGCACAACGGCGGTAACAAGAGAATTCAACTGATCGATCAGTACGGATGCCCGGTCGACGACAAATTGATCAGTCGGTTTCGGGGTTCGTGGTCGGAGAGTGGATTATTCGAGACGCAAGTCTTTGCTTACATGAAGACCTTTAGGTTCACGGGATCGCCGGCTCTGTATATCGAGTGCGATGTTCGTATGTGCCACGGAAGATGTCCGGTAATTAGATATTGCTTCTATTATACATGCAATTTTTTTCAATTTTAAAAATAAAATTAATGAATTATTTTTTTTAAGTTATTTTGCAATAAAAAAAGTTGAATAATGTAATTTTTTAATGGACATTTCTATGCAGCACTATTTATATATAGCACATTTCTTTTTGCATGAAAATACAATGTTTCAGTTTTATAGATATTCTTAGATTGAACGCTTCACCCATATTTCAGAGTCAACCTTGCCATTGGAGAAACGCGAAGAACGTGGTAAAGCGATCGGTGCCGGAAATGATCGGTGGACCGTCGACGCCGGCAACCAGTTTGTCGGAGAACGTAAATCTCTTCCAATCTCTTCGCGTTCTTCAGGAAGGCGAGGCGGACACGGAACTGTTCCAGAATTCCACCAGCGCCTCTCGCAGCGGTAAAGCGGATATTTATGTCAAAGATAATGTTACTGTTAGAGAACTATTACATCAAACCATATATTTATGATAATTTTGTTCAATGGAGAAGTTCCACTTTTCCGTCATATCTGCGCTATCAATCCAAAATGGCAAATTAAAACAAAATTCTTCAAGTCATAGTTTACATCGGAATATATATAAATTTTGATAAAATTTTGAAAAATTTTTTTGATAAAAATAAATATATAAATAGATTTTCTTTAGCAATTATAAAAAAATTATGTGATTATCTTATCGTTTAACAAATATTAAGAATAACTATTAGATTATTTAATATATTTAGATAGCCAAATCTTAACACAATGTTGGTAGATTGATAGCAAAGTTTGATCAATGATGGTAACTTAATTTTTTACTTTAATTAAATCTGTCAAATTTGTTGTCAATCTAACATCGCTAACATTTTGCTTATTTCTATTTTTTGAACAATATTATTATTATTACATTTTTCTGAATTTATAATTTTTTTTGTAGCACTTAGCGATTCTACGACTGACAGAGTGTGCTTGAGATCTACTGTGGCTAGCACAATAGTGGGACTCGGCTGTGGATTCTTCTGTATCATGGCCGGCACGATACTAGCCATGTGCTCGCGAATGCGACGACAAGCGCGAGAAAAAATTACTGTCCGATAGCATAAGTTACATGACGCACAAAGGCCGAATCAACTAGAAGCAGAGCTATTGCGCGGAAGCCTGTTTCTCCTATCTTCATCTCTCGATTGATTCGCGATACCCTCGCATCTTCCGCGCGGAGCTGCCAAGATAATGCTCCGCTGATACAACAAGAACGTGTACTGTGTCGTTAAGATAGAAAACGGTCGATATAAATGACTGAAGTATTAATAAGTTGATAAATTAATTAGCGCTGATAAAATTATGATTAGGCAGTAATAAATTAATTTTTTTATGAACTGGCTAAATGCCAAATTTGTAAAATTTTAAAGAAGGGCTTTAGGTATTCGTTCTACTAACTTCTTAAGATAAGCGTGGGATTGACACAGTGCGAAGTGCCTTACATACTATGTTAGTCGTCGATAATTCAGGCTCCCGTGGATATAACATATCCCATCGGCCCTACGTGTGCGAATGCTTTTTTTTATATAAATAATATTCGCTGCTATATTCTCGCTTAATTTACTTATCGAAATGTTGATCGATACTCATTCGTCAAGTTATGTATATGTCGCGAGTGAGGTATTTGTAACGAGTTATCGCTCATTGATAAGTAGAGGTAGAAGTCGTCGATATTGCCACGATCTTGGTGCCGAATGTGCGATCAGTAAAATAAGATTTCAAACGTTACCGCATCGATCGGTAATTTAACACAATGTAATCGTAATCGATGTTTTTTTTTTTCTTTTCTTATTGCTTATTTCGATCTCGCAAGCGGCACATTATGAGATCAAAACGAACGTCAGCAACGACGTCAGTAACGACGCTTAATTGCCGCTGACTAGTACTTATATGTCTATCTGTGACATTATTGGCCATATTCAGGAACGTGGAAATTAATCGATTCACTTAACAATACGATTGACACGTATAAAATAATAGAGAATTAAAATAAAAATATATAGTTCATAAAAACATTATTTTATCAATATAAAGATGCTCATAAAAATTAATACGAGTATAATCTGCATAAAAAATATTCTGTCATTTTCTCATATATTAAATTAACATGTAATCAAGATATGTCATTGCTGAAAAACAAAACTGCTTTATGATTTTCACAAATTATTCACGTCATCGTACTTAATTGATACACATATTTAATTTCCAACCTTTGCGACGGAGAAATACGAAATTGAATTATCCGATTAATTAACAGTCCGTCCGAATCTCATCGTTCCTGAATGTTTGTGAATAATGCATCTAGCTAAATATCATTATATAACAAACGAAAATATACTTAGGTTTAAACTTATATATACGATAGTATGTTAAAAGTGCGAATCCTATAATACGAAGAAAAAGAAACGAACAGAAAAAATTACACGGAACATCACCGGGTGTACGGCCAGCGAGGATTAAATAATATTTTATGAGACCACCCCATGTGTAAATGGGGCGAGCCAAAGAAAAGTAGCTCAGTTCTCGTTTTAATATTTATTCCGAAATTCGCCGACCTCGCGCGATCTTTCGCTACCATGTGAAATATTAATTTCCCCTCCTGGTTGTTCCCCTCTACACTATTACACAATTTAATATTACAACATTTCCGTTTCATTGCTCTATATTGATTCCGATCCCTTGTGCCTCTCCCCTCCGTCTTTCGAGCGTCAAGCCGAGTATCAAGACTCAACTGCTCGATTAATTATCTGTAAATATAGTGTTGTAATGACTCATGATATTTATGATTAAGTGTATCAAGGTTTCCAATAAATCATAGAAGAAGATAGTGTTCTGAGACATGTCTTATCTGACGTTCGTATTTCATGTAAGTAAGTATCCTGTAGATAGGCTCTATATCTGTAAGATTATTTCTTTTAAGGTATTATCCTCTTTTTATAATGCTGACGATATTAACGAAAGTTCAAAGCGACCCTATTAATTTGCTGATCTTAATTTAAAGAATTTAATCTAAAATTGTATTGTTTCGATAAACAGCGGATTTGAGAAACAAGCAATAATCGTTTTAATCTTTTTAAATTCTTATCTTTTTCCAAGCAAAGTTTTGATTTAATTTATTATTATCTGATATTATCTAATTTTAATTATTTAGTCTAAACCGATTAAAATCAATACGCGTAAAGTTAGTCCCCCCAAATATTAGAAATTAAGTTATTTTACATGATTAATTGCACATTGTTTGCACATGGTTGCACTTCTTTTATTTTCGTTTGCACACTTCTAGTAAAAAAGTTATTAAATAAAAAATTTGGGGGGCCAATTTCACATTAGCCCCCCAATTTTTACAAAAATGGTTTTCAATCAACCTAATCGATAGATTTTTTTAAAATAACTTTTTTACTAGAAGTGTGCAAACGAAAATAAAAGAAGTGCAATAATGTGCAAACAATGTGCAATCGAATCATGTAAAATAACTTAATTATTTCTAATATTAGGGGCTAATTTCACGTGTATCTAAAATCATAAATTTATCATTTTATGTAATATATTTTTTCACGTATATGCGCTTACGATACGTGAACGTTCGCGAGGGAATCTAGAAACCAGCGTGACGAAAGCAGAAATCTACCTGGGGTCTGATCTTGAAAAATTCGAGATGTTGCGGGCCACAAATGGCCACGGAACGGAACAAATCGTGTTTCTCAAACAGCGCATTCGTCTTATGAAATGGATCCGACCAAAAACGCCAGTCAATCGACGCAAATGGGGCCCTTGATGAAAAGTGAAAACTTCACGCAATATCTCATCCGCAGAACGAACTGTGACCGTCATTTATCGTTCGATCCCTCGATAACGAAAACGCGCCAATCGTCGTATGACCGGTTCTCGATACTTATCCGACGAAAGAAGAACATTATTCGAAAATAGCTTCCGCTTTAATTATTTATAACAGAGTTGCAGTGATGAATAGTCGTACATTAACGAGTGAATTTAGGGCACTTATCGTACAAAATTGAAGACTCATGATATTGATTGATAAACAAGAAGGATATAAGTATCATTATAATATCTTCAAGATACAATGTAGATAGAAGACAACATCAGTACACGTTACGTCGTTAGATATAATATATAAATAACATATTTTATTATTATAATACTACCAATTATTAGCTATATTAATTAAAAATTGCTATTATAACGTATTTTGCGATGAAGATCCACATCTGACATTTATCAACTAAATCTCAAAGTTCCAAAGAATCCTAATCCTTTCCGAAAAATAGGCGGTACCACCTATGAACCTTATTGTGCAGCAAAAGGGCAATCAGCTGCAGTAACGAACTGTCTCGCCCGCCTACCATGCGGTAATTAATCAAGCCACAATAAATTAATTGCTGCTCCGGCAAGAATTAATTGCCATCCCGGCAATAATTACGGCTAACGCAGAAATAATTATCGTGCACCCTGGCAAAGCGTTGATCCTCGTCCAACGATAATCCGCTTGTAATTCGATACATACGTATATCGTATATCGCGATATATCGATCGTTCCCCGTGCGCGCGCTCTTGTAAATCCAATTTAATTTCAATAAAATAATCTTTCATGAATAAATCACTCCAACGCGATTTTTATAGCGACGCCCGGATAACATCAACTCTATGAAAAAAATGAAAATGTTCTAGCAAGCTATAAAAAATATTATAAATTCGTTATTATTGCAAATGCCATATAACAGGATAATGTTATCAATCTTGGTTTTATATAAGTATTTTATAGTTATTTTTATAAAGACTTTATATTCACCTTTAATAGAGATAAAAAGTACAAAATAATTATTTTGTATGCTGTCAGATTTGGTCTTTACGTAACTTGTAAAAGATTATATGCAATCGCAAACCGATGTCTTGGAACATGCATCGTTCGGCCGAAAAGACGCATATGCGAGCGAGAACGAGAAGAGAGGAGGAAGGCAGAAAACCCTAGAGACACATGGGACACGAGAGGGAGGAGAGGTAGAGAGAGAGAGAGAGAGAGAGAGAGAGAGAGAGAGAGGAG